CACACACTGGTACAAGTACTTGATGGTATACAACCACACACACTGGTACAAGTACTTGATGGTATACAACCACACACACTGGTACAAGTACATGATGGTATACAACCACACACACTTGTACAAGTACATGATGGTATACAACCACACACACTGGTACAAGTACTTGATGGTATACAACCACACACACTGGTACAAGTACTTGATGGTATACAACCACACACACTGGTACAAGTACTTGATGGTATACAACCACACACACTGGTACAAGTACATGATGGTATACAACCACACACACTGGTACAAGTACATGATGGTATACAACCACACACACTGGTACAAGTACATGATGGTATACAACCACACTCGCTGGTACAAGTAGATGATGGTACAAGCTCACACACACTGGTACAAGTACATGATGGTATACAACCACACACACTGGTACAAGTACATGATGGTATACAACCACACACACTGGTACAAGTACATGATGGTACACAACCACACACACTGGTACAAGTACATGATGGTACACAGTCACAAACACTGATACAAGTACATGATGGTACACAACCACACACACGGGTACAAGTTCATGATGGTACACAACCACACACACTGGTACAAGTACATGATGGTACACAACCACACACACTGGTACAAGTACATGATGGTACACAACCACACACACTGGTACAAGTACATGATGGTACACAACCACACACACTGGTACAAGTACATGATGGTACACAGTCACAAACACTGGTACAAGCACATGATGGTACATAGCCACACACACTGGTACAAGTACATGATGGTACAAGCTCACACACACTGGTACTAATATATGATGGTACACAACCACACACACTGGTACAAGTACATGATGGTACACAACCGCACACGCTGGTACAAGTACATGATGGTACAAGCTCACACACACTGGTACATGATGGTACACAACCATACACGCTGGCACAAGTACATGATGGTACACAACCACACACTGGTACAAGTACATGATGGTACACAACCATACACGCTGGCACAAGTACATGATGGTACACAACCACACACACTGGTACAAGTGCATGATGATACACAACCACACACACTGGTACAAGTGCATGATGATACACAACCACACACACTGGTACAAGTACATGATGGTATACAACCACACAGACTGGTACAAGTACATGATGGTATACAACCACACACACTGGTACAAGTACATGATGGTATACAACCACACACACTGGTACAAGTACTTGATGGTATACAACCACACAGACTGGTACAAGTACATGATGGTATACAACCACACACACTGGTACAAGTACATGATGGTATACAACCACACAGACTGTACAAGTACATGATGGTATACAACCACACACACTGGTACAAGTACTTGATGGTATACAACCACACACACTGGTACAAGTACATGATGGTATACAACCACACACACTGGTACAAGTACATGATGGTATACAACCACACACACTGGTACAAGTAGATGATGGTACAAGCTCACACACACTGGTACAAGTACATGATGGTACACAACCATGCACACACTGGTACAAGTACATGATGGTACACAACCATGCACACACTGGTACAAGTACTTGATGGTACACAACCACACACTGGTACAAGTACATGATGGTACACAACCAAACACACTGGTACAAGTTCATGATGGTACACAACCACACACACTAGTACAAGTACATGATGGTACACAGTCACAAACACTGATACAAGTACATGATGGTACACAACCACACACACTGGTACAAGTACATGATGGTACACAACCACACACACTGGTACAAGTACATGATGGTACACAGTCACAAACACTGGTACAAGCACATGATGGTACATAACCACACACACTGGTACAAGTACATGATGGTACACAACCGCACACGCTGGTACAAGTACATGATGGTACAAGCTCACACACACTGGTACAAGTACATGATGGTACACAACCGCACACGCTGGCACAAGTACATGATGGTACACAACCACACACTGGTACAAGTACATGATGGTACACAACCACACACACTGGTACAAGTACATGATGGTATACAACCACACACACTGGTACAAGTACATGATGGTATACAACCACACACACTGGTACAAGTACATGATGGTATACAACCACACACTGGTACAAGTACATGATGGTATACAACCACACACACTGGTACAAGTACATGATGGTATACAACCACACACACTGGTACAAGTACATGATGGTATACAACCACACACACTGGTACAAGTACATGATGGTATACAACCACACACTGGTACAAGTACATGATGGTATACAACCACACACACTGGTACAGTACATGATGGTATACAACCACACACTGGTACAAGTACATGATGGTATACAACCACACACACTGGTACAAGTACATGATGGTATACAACCACACACTGGTACAAGTACTTGATGGTATACAACCACACACTATTACAAGTACATGATGGTATACAACCATACACACTGGTACAAGTACATGATTCAAATTTCAAAGTTTATTCTCTATAAGGATTACAATGCTGAGTTTACAGAATTTGGTTGTTGTGTGGTTTACATGTAGTAAAATAATGATTACAGAGTGTACCACTAGAACACCTAGCATGGCTAGGCATTTCGGGCAGACTTAGTTTAATTCTTAATTTTAAAATATTACAAATTATGAGGTAAGTTGGTATTATGGCTAAGTGACTAAGTACTAGTTTGTGAGTTTAGCAATGTGAATGCTTTTGTTTTGGCACAGTACATAGTTTCAGTATTGGAGTATCACAGGATTCAATATTTAAGATTGAGAGAAATATTTCTGTTTATGGTCAAATGGGTGAGTGAGTGTAAGTGTGAACCACCAGGTGGTATTCGTGTAGTTAGTTGACGGGGTGTATCAGGGAGATAAGATGTTTTCTAATGGTAGTTTTGAAGGTGATGAATGTGTCTGCAGTTCTAGAGTTCTCAGGTAGGGTATTCCAGATTTTAGGGCCTTTGACATACATTGAATTTTTGTAAAGGTTTAGTCGGACACGGGAATGTCGTAGAGATGTTGTTCTGGTGTTATGCCTGTGGGTTCTGTCACAACTATCAAGAAAGCGTTTTAGGTCAAGGTTGATATTGGAGTTTAAGGTCCTGTAGATATAGATTGCACAGTAGTAAGTGTGGATGTACTGAACAGGGAGTAAGTTTAGATCTATGAAGAGTGGTGGGGGGGTGTTGCCAGGGATGGGATTTAGTGATTATTCTTGCTGCAGCTTTTTGTTGGGTTATTATTGGCTTTAGGTGTGTTGCTGCAGTTGATCCCCAAGCACAAATAGCATAGGTGAGGTATGGATAAATAAGTGAGTGGTATAGTGTGAGAAGGACATTTTGCGGCATGTAGTATGATGATACACAACCACACACACTGGTACAAGTGTATGCTGGTACCGGTCTACACACTGGTAAAAGATATGCTGGTAGAAATCTACACAATGGAACAAGTACATGTACACACTTTTTTCTCAATGTAAGCAAACAGATCAACTTAATGTTTAGCCTGCCCTAGGTACTGAGTCACTCAGAAATACACAAACAAATGCTATTTTCAAAATGTACATGACTGCTACATAGATGAAATTTGCTTCACTGAAAGTGAAAAAGCCTCTGGTTATGCAGAGCATTTCTAGCATTCTTTAACCAGGACTTAAAACTATTTGACATTACAGTCTATAGTCGCATAGTTAAAGTTAGATTATTTGAATGCTAAGAGTAATACTATATATTACATTAAGATAAGAGTATTAAAAATAATAATATTGTCAAAACTATTATATATATATATATATAATATATATATATATATATATATATATATATATATATATATATATATATATATATATATATATAATATATATATATATATTTAATTGTAAAATAATTTAAAATCGGCATCTTTATTTTACAATGACAAAGGCATGTCCCATTTCGAATTATTGGTTCTGATTAGCATTCTATACCAGTTCAAAAGTCAGCCAGAAAGTGGCAGGTAATGCCACTCTTATTTGGCTAATCTAGTATAATGCCATTCTGTCTGGCTAATCTAGTAAACCCGGAGTCTATCCTGGGCCGAATTGTCTTTGCTTCCTTGCCAGAGCTTCTAATTTCTAACCCATGGCGTTTCAGATACGTATGATGGTTAATGGTTTCTTTGCTTCACCTGCAAAGCTCGATTTTATAGAGAATAACTATGGTTTTACATACAGAAAAGGGATGAAGAATTTCGAGGGTCCACTGTATTTGTAACTTTTTATCTGTCAGAATGCGACCCACACCAAGGTACCGTATTATTTACTGCTATGTGAACCACCATGGGTAGCAAGTATCAGGACACCTGCTCATTAGACTTTATTTTAAGTCACAGTGGCGACGGGTTCATTTATTTTTTAGCAACATTTTGAATCTGAACGAATATTGAAGCATTAAATGTATTATGAAATTAAGTTCTGGAATAAAGATCCCTCTAATCCTATTATTATTATTATTATTATTATTATTATTATTATTATTATTATTATTATTATTATTATTATTAACGACAAGTAAGGTACATGTGGGTGAGACAATTAAAAAAGATTAAAGATTTTATTTCTTTGCAAAGTTACAATTTGTAATTACAATTTTGATTTGTTAAGCACAAAGAAAGCATTATCTTACTGGGGTATTTCTGGCATGGTAAAACCTGGTTATTTTTCTGAGGCAACATAGCTGTGTCTTTACACAATAATTATGATAGTTGTATCTTCAATAATTATTAATCATGTGCATACTGTTCATCCAAAAACCAATTCCACATAAAATATTGATGAGATATTTCTGAAATACTGTAAATCTTGGTAATAAATGAAAAAAAAATTGGGCCATTTTATCATGGAGGATTATTTTTTTTTTACAGGAAGGTTATCCTATGAGGCCTAAAGGACTTCACTACATTAACACCCCGGCAGCCTTCGACACGGTCTTTAATATCTTCAAGTCATTTATGAAAGAAAAAATGAGGAAGAGAGTAAGTTAACTTGTGTATTGCAGTTAGTGTAGCGAGGGCAGCAGCAGCAGCAGCAGCAGCAGCAGCAGCAGCAGCAGCAGCAGCACTGTAGACGGTGTACCAAGTGCAGCAGCAGCAGCAGCAGCAGCAGCAGCAGCAGCTGTAGACGGTGTACCAAGTGCAGCAGCAGCAGCAGCAGCAGCAGCACTGTAGACGGTGTACCAAGTGCAGCAGCAGCAGCACTGTAGACGGTGTACCAAGTGCAGCAGCAGCAGCACTGCAGACAGTGTACCGAGTGCAGCAGCAGCAGCACTGTAGACGGTGTACCAAGTGCAGCAGCAGCAGCACTGTAGACGGTGTACCAAGTGCAGCAGCAGCAGCACTGTAGACGGTGTACCAAGTGCAGCAGCAGCAGCACTGTAGACGGTGTACCGAGTGCAGCAGCAGCAGCACTGCAGACAGTGTACCGAGTGCAGCAGCAGCAGCACTGTAGACGGTGTACCAAGTGCAGCAGCAGCAGCACTGTAGACGGTGTACCAAGTGCAGCAGCAGCAGCACTGTAGACGGTGTACCAAGTGCAGCAGCAGCAGCAGCACTGTAAGACGGTGTACCAAGGCTGCAGCAGCAGCAGCAGCAGCACTGTAGACGGTGTACCAAGTGCAGCAGCAGTAGCAGCACTGTAGACGGTGTACCAAGTGCAGCAGCAGCAGCAGCACTGTAGACGGTGTACCAAGTGCAGCAGCAGCACTGTAGACATGTACCGAGTGCAGCAGCGCAGCACTGGGTGGGGCCGAGTGCAGCCAGTACTACGACAGTGTACCGAGTGCGCAGCAGACTGCAGCGTGTACAGTGAAGCACGCCAAACAGACAGTGTACCGAGTGCGCGAGCACTGCAGACAGTGTCCCCTGCAATAGCATATACAGACAGGTACCCAGTGCGCAGCAGCAGCAACATGTACCGGGGAACGCGCACTCAGACAGTGTACGATGCAGCAGCAGCACTGCAGAAAGGGACCAGTGCAATAGCGACTACAGACAGTTACCGACTGCAGCAGCAGCACTGCAACAGTGTCCGGTTTCGCAGCACACTACAGACAGTGTACCGGTGCAGCGCAGCATGCAACGTGTACCAGTGCGGGAGCAGCACTGCAGGGCATGTACCCAGTGCGCAGCAGCATGAACATTCCGATGCAGCAGGCACTGCAGACAGTGTACCGGTGCGAGCAGCCTGCGCAGTGTACCCATGCAGAGCGCACTGCAACAGTGTACCCCGTGCAGCAGCGCAGAGCATGTACCGAGTGCACGCAGCCTGCAGGGCGGTACCGAGTGCGCAGCCATGCAACATGTACCCAGTGCAGCAGCAGCACGAGACAGTGTACCCAGGCAGCCCAAAACACTCAGACAGTGTACCGAGTGCAGCAGCAGCACTCAGCAGTGACCCAGTGCAGCGCAGCACGCAGACAGTGTACCGAGTGCAGCGCAGCATGCAGACAGTGTACCCAGTGCCGCAGCAGGGCAGTGTACCGAGTGCAGCAGCGCATGCAGACAGTGTACCCCAGTGCAGCAGCAGCCTGCAAAAGTGACCGAGTGCAGCAGCAGCACTGCAGACAGTGTACCGAGTGCGAGCACATGCGAAAGTGTCCGAGTGAGCGCAGATGCAACAGTGTACCGAGTGCAGCAGCAGCACTGCAGACAGTTTTTCCCAGTGCAGCAGCACCTTTCAGAAGTGTACCGTGGCAGGAGCCTGCAGACAGTGTACCCAGGCAGCAGCAGCACTGAGACAGTGTACCGAGTGCAGCACAGCCTGCAGACAGTTTACCGAGTCAGCAGCGCCTGCAGACGTGTACCGGGCACAGCAGCAAAGCAGACAGTGACCCGGGGCAGCAGAGCCCGCAGCAGTGTACCGGTCGGGAGCAGCACTGCAGACAGGTACCGATGCAGCAGCAGCATGCAGACAGTTTACCAGTGCAGCAGCCACTGCGCGTGTACCCATGCAGCAGAGCATGCAGACAGTGTCCGAGGCAGCAGCAGCACTGCAACAGTGTACCGAGTTCGCGCGCACTGCAGACAGTGTACGAGTGCAGCCAGCCGCGCGGTACGGTGCAGGCGCAGCACGCAGACGTGTACCGATTTCGCAGCGCACTCAGACAGTTTTTCCGATGCGCGCGCACTGCAGCGTTACCGAGGCAGCACAGCACTGCGCAGTGTACCCAGTGCAGCAGCAGGGACTGCAGACGTTACGAGTGCAGCAGCAGCACTGCAGCAGTTTTACCGGTGAGCAGCAGCCTGCGCAGTGTACGGTGCAGCAGCAGCATGCAGGCAGTGTACCGAGTGCAGCAGCAGCACTGCAGCGTGTACCGAGGCGCGAGCCTGAGCAGTGTACCCAGGCAGCGCACACTGAGACAGTGTCGAGTGGGAAGCACACGCAGAAGTTAACCCAGGGGCGAGCAGCCTGCAGACGTGTACGAGTGCGCACAGCACTGCAGAAGTGTACCGATGCGCGCAGCACTGCAGACAGTTACCCGGTGCAGACAGCACTGCAGACAGTGTACCGAGTGCAGCAGCAGCACTGCGAAGTGTCCGAGTGCAGCAGCGCACTGAGACATGTAAAAGATGCGCACAGCACTGGGCGTGTACCCATGCGCAGCAGCACTGCAGACAGTTTTCCGAGTCAGCAGCGCACTGCAGACAGTGTACCAGTTTCGCAGCACATGCAGCAGTGTACCCAGTGCAGGCAGCACTGCAGACAGGTACCGAGTCAGCACACACTGCGACAGTGTACCGGTGCGCGCACCTGCAGACAGTGTTCGGTGAGCAGCAGCACTGCAACAGGTACCGAGTAACAGCAGCAAGAGACAGTGTACGAGTGCAGCACAGCACTGCAGACAGTGTACCGATGCGCGCAGCACTGCAGACAGTGTACCGAGTGCGCAGCAGCATAGACAGTGTACCGGGGGCAGCAGCAGCACTGCAGAAGGTACCGAGGGAACGCGCACTGCAGACTGTACCCATGAGCAGCAGCCTGCAGACAGGGTTCCCGGTTTCGCAGCAGCACTGCAGACAGTGTACCGAGTGCAGCAGCAGCCCGAGCGTTTTTCCGAGTGCAGCAGCAGCACTGGACAGTGTACCGAGTGCAACAGCGCACTGCAGACAGTGCCCAGTGCAGACAGCATGCAGACGTGTACCGAGTCAGCACAGAGCAGAAAGTGTACCCAGTGCGCAGCAGCACTGCAGACAGTGTACCCAGTGCAGCAGCACCTGGACAGTGTACCGAGGGCGCAGCACTGCAGACAGTGTACGAGTGCAGCACCCACATGCAACAGTGTACCGAGTGCAGCAGCAAGCAGCAGTGTACCCAGTCAGCACGCACTGAGACAGTGTACCGAGTGCAGCAGCAGATGCAGACAGTGTAAACCCAGGCAGCGAGCACTGCAGACAGTGTACCCATGCAGCAGCAGCACTGCGCAGTGTAACGAGTGCGCAGCACATGCAGCGTGTACCCGGGAGCAGCAGACTGCGACAGTGTACCCAGTGCAGCAGCAGCATGCAGCATGTTACCGAGTGCGCAGCAGACGCAGACAGTTTTTACCGATGCAGCACGACTGCAGAAATGACCGAGTGCAGCAGCAGCACTGCAGACGTGTACGAGGCAGCCGCACTGCAGACGGACCGGGGGTGCAGCAGCAAAGGACTGCAGACAGTTCGAAATGAAAAGGCAGCAGCAGCAGACCGTGACCGAGTGCGCAGCAGCATGCGACAGTGTACCGAGTGCAGCAGCAGCACGCAGACAGTGTCCCCATGCAGAGCAGCACTGCAACGTTTTACCCGGGGCAGCAGCAACTGCAGACGTGTACCGAGTGCAGCAGCAGCACTGCAGACAGTGTACCGGTGCAGCAGCAGCACTGCAGACAGGGTTACCCCAGTGAGCAGCAGCATGCGACAGTTTGTACCGAGGCAGCAGCAGCACTGCAGACAGTTACCCAGTGCAGCGCGCACTGCTTTCGGGGGCCCGGTGCAGAAATGCAGGCAGCAGCACTGCAGACAGGACCGAGTGGGGAGATAAAGGCCAGTACCAGCACTGCAACAGTGTCCCAGTGCAGCAGCAGACTGCAGACAGGTACCGATGCAGCGCAGCATGCAGACAGGGGCCGAGTGCGCAGCGCACTGCAACAGTGTACCCAGGCAGCAGCAGCACTGCAGACAGTTTTACCGAGTGCAGCACACACGCAGACGTGTACCGATGCAGCGCGCACTGCAGACAGTTACGGTGCACAGCAGCATGCAGACATTTACCCGGGGGCAGCCCGCAGCCTGCGACAGTGTACCCAGTGCAGCGCAGCACGCAGACGTGTACCGATGCAGCGCAGCACTGCAGACAGTTACCCAGGGGGCAGCAGCACTGCAAAGTGTCCGAGTGCGCGCAGCCTGCAGACGTTTACCGAGTGCAAGCAAGGGACTGCGCAGTGTCCCAGGCTCAGCACAATGCAGACAGGTCCCAGTGCAGCAGCAGCACGCAAAAGTGTACCCGGGCGCAGCAGCACTGCGAATTTTCCCCAGTTGCAGCAGCAGCATGCAGACAGTGTAAAGGTGCAGCAGCAGCACTGAGCAGTGTACCCCAGTGCAGCAGCCACTGCAGACAGTGTACCGAGGCAGCAGCAGCACTGCAGACAGTGTACCGAGTGCAGCAGCAGCACTGCAGACAGTGTACCGAGTGCAGCAGCAGCACTGCAGACAGTGTACCGAGTGCAGCAGCAGCACTGCAGACAGTGTACCGAGTGCAGCAGCAGCACTGCAGACATTGTACCGAGTGCAGCAGCAGCACTGCAGACAGTGTACCGAGTGCAACAGCAGCACTGCAGACAGTGTACCGAGTGCAGCAGCAGCACTGCAGACAGTGTACCGAGTGCAGCAGCAGCACTGCAGACAGTGTACCGAGTGCAGAAGCAGCACTGCAGACAGTGTACCGAGTGCAGCAGCAGCACTGCAGACAGTGTACCGAGTGCAGCAGCAGCACTGCAGACAGTACAGAAGGAAAGACACAAAGTGAAGATCACATTATTGTAACAGCTCATCGCTGTGTAAAGTTTGCCAAGTATATGGAAAATTAGTTTGATAAAACTCAACACGGAGCGTTACGTTGCTACAGTAAAAAGCTTACTCTCCACCTGGTGTTTTTTCTTTAACTTTTGAACTTAGATCAAAGGTTGATAATAAACAGGTGTTGCACATGTGTCTTATTCATCAATTTTTAAAATATTTCTTGAGACACTTAAAGAATAAAAAAGTGTCTTGAAATACTTTATATCTTGTGCCTCTTTTTGTTATTTATATCTTGCTTTTAATATATAGTAAACTGCGTAGCAACACTAATATAACTTTTTTACATTAATTTCCGAACTCTTTTATTAAAAAAAAAATTGGGAGTAATGCATTAATCGCCAGTGGATGAAATGAGTTATGTGACTTACTATATTTTCTGAGCTGTTGTAGACTGTTTCTGTTCTTCTATATCAGTGTAGTGAAGGCAATAAATAATAATAAATAATAGACATTTAAACAAAGCTCCTCCTTTTCATTGAGGGAATGCTGCATCTCCTGCCAAGTCTTTTGCTTTCGTAGGGAGTGATTTTCGTGTGCATATTTGGAATTAGTCCCTCTAGGATTTTCCAAGTGTATATTATCATGTAGCTTTCTCGTCTGCGTTCCAGGGAGTACAAATCAGGGGACTTCAACCGTTCCCAGTATTTTAGGTGCTTTATCGTACTTATATGTTATGTGAAAGTTCTCTGTATATTCTCAAGGTTTGCAGTTTCACCTGCATTGAAAGGGGCCGTTGATGCAGAGCAATATTCTCGCCTAGAGAGAGTTTTGAAGGCTCTCATTATCTATCCTATCATTTTCCTAGCATATGTGGTAGATACGTTGTTGTGATAGATTGGTATGTGATCTTAAATCATTACAAAAATATGCACTGACTTCATGTTGTCATAATACTTTTATTACCATAATTAGACACGTTACTTTGTGAGGACTATTATAAAATGTTCACCGGTCGCTAGTACTGTTTGTTCGCTTGTGAGACTGAGGGGCTGAGCAGCATTAGTGATGAAGGATACTGATGGAAGGAATAAATTATGAAGAAGGGTTCATTTGTAACTTGTGTTCGGAGTTATGCAGTAACCTGACTGCTCAGAGACCTAGCCACGATTAGCGAACGGAGGATCAAGCCTCCACCATTCCTTGTGCTGAATGACCCACACAAGTTTAGCGCTTCATGAAATAATATAAAAAGACTTGTTGTATGACCACAGGTACACATCCACGGGACCGACATGGAGAGTCTATACAGGCATGTGCCTAAGTCGGTCCTGCCTGTTGAATACGGAGGCACCAACGGAACCATAGAGGAGATCACAAGTAAGTACGTCTACCGGTTTCAGTTTAATATCTTCATTATGCACTCCATACCGATCCTGCTACCGGTTCTTCCTCATCAGGAGGTCATCTCTCGGTGTAAGCAATTATCATTAAGCATTTTAGGTAGTTTGTATTTTCAATTTATTTAATTTTGGTTGTACAGAAGTTAGGTTACACTTGGAACATAATGCTAATGGAACAATAAGATAAATCTCACCAGTGCAACACAGTCAATACACTACTACAACATTATCATAACATCCACCACCACAACACCACGAACACATCACTACCAAGATATGAAGGGAGGGTGTTATGCTTACAAAATACCGATGTTTAAAGCACTAATATTTACTAGATGTGTAACGTACTAATGTTTTCAGAGAAGTTTAAAGTACTGATGTTGACAACATAGATGCTTAATGTACTGATGTTTACAGTATATTTACTTAAAGTACCGATGTTGATAAGTAGATGTTTAAAGTACTGATGTTTTCTGAGTACATATTGAAAGTACTGATGTTTACAGAGCAGATGTTTATAGTAATGATATTTACAGAGTACTGGATTGAGAGGTTAGATGCCAGGCGAGACTGGCTCTTAGAGGACGAGAAATACGTTGTGGACGAGTCGAAGCGCCCAGGCAAAGCCAAGACCTCAGCTGAACTCTTCGGCTTAGAAGGATCCTTCAGGAAGCTCAACGTCGACTAGACATACAATGTTCCTCCATCACAGACCATTTTCAGAGGAACGAGGTCTTTTTTTGTGGGGACATTACGACCAGTGGATCCTAGGGACGATCAGGAGTAAATCGCCATCTAAAGTTTAGTCTGTTTTTTTTATTTAGCCTAGGATAAAACAGCAAAGTCTATAGGTGCAACTTATTTTGATAAATTAGACACATGTGCAACTCTTGGGTATCTTTATTAAGGAAACGTTTCGCCACACAGTGGCTTCATCAGTCCATACACAGGAGAAACTTGAAGAACAGGAGGAAATGAGGTAATCAATTCCTCAACCTTGAGTCGATGTGGTCAGTCCATCAATCTTGAATAGATGGACTGACCACATCGACTCAAGGTTGAGGGACTGATTACCTCATTCTCCTCCTGTTCTTCAAGTTTCTCCTGTGTATGGACTGATGAAGCCACTGTGTGGCGAAACGTTTCCTTAATAAAGATACCCAAGAGTTGCACATGTGTCTAATTTATCAACGTGTCAATTCTGTGAACCATTCATCTACAACTTTCACGATTCTGCAAGATATCTGAGCGAAATACAGAAAACAATTCTCGTTCATGAAAATAAATGAGGCGAAGGTTGAGACAACAAATGCTACTGTACATATTATTTATATGGAAGTATATATATCAAGAACTTCCGTTGGCATTTCTTAGAGGTAGAAA